GAGGGGAAAGGCAGACACTCTTTAGGAAGTAACTGTTATTTGGCTTAAAGAAGACTTCAGGGGATGTTTTTGGTTTAAGGTTTAAAGATCATCTCAAAACTCAGCCTCCACAACCCTGAGACCAGAAGAAGGAGATGGTGCCCGGGTACCACAGTTCTGAGGGATCACAACAGGAAATTCCAGAGACAGTGGGAGAAAAATGTGGGGCAAAACTCAAACTCATAAAATAGACCAGGCTTTACTGGTCTGATGGAGACTGGTGGTACCCCAGAGACTGTGGCTCACAGACGCCCCTTAAGCCTGGAAGTGAACTCACCCTCAGTGCCCACCTTTCAATCAAATGACAGACAGACGTATAAGGTGAACAACTAACATCAGGGAGGCACATGCTCTTTAGAACAATCCACCATCTGGGAACAAAAGGGCAGCATGTGCCCAGGATAAAGCTAAGAAGGCTGGAAGGGACAGGAAAGAAGGATGGTGAAAGGAAGTTGTAAACACAGGGAGGAAGTGGGAAGGGTGCTGTTCCATTGTGGGGACTGCGATCAACATCACAAAACAAAGTGGGTAAGAATTGTTGGAAACCAATTTGCTCCCCAAGTGCCCATCCACAGAAGAAGGGATAACCAAACTATGGTACATACACACAATGGAATACTATGCAACACTGAAGAATAATGTAGAATCTGCAAAACACCACATAACATGGATAAACTTAGAGGACATTATGCTAAGTGAAATAAATCAATCACAGAAGGGCAAATATTGTATTAGTTCATTATTATAAAAAGTCAAGGAAAATAGAGAAGGAAACTTTCTTTGTTGGTTATCAGGGGTGGGAGGGCACAAAAATTAAAAACAAAAAAAAATTTTCTCTGTAAACTTTCACTCAAATCACAAATAAATTAATAAATTAAAAAATATAATTATCTCAGGGCAATAGTTTCAGGGGTTCACCCCACTTCAATAGCTCCAGAAAGCCTGGATTCCATGAGAATTTGAAATTCTGTTCTGCATTTTCCTCCTTTTGATCAAGATTCTTCTATAGAATCTTTCATCAAAACATTCAGTAATGAGAACTGGGCCAACCAGTTCTGGTCTCATGGCAAAGGAGGCAATTAGCTACACATACCATTTCCTCCTCCTATTCCTGACTCTCCTTTTTCCTCTGTTGCTGCAGGTGAATAGAGACCGATACTGTTGATTCTTGTTTAAATATTTTGTAGAACTCACCACTGAGATCATTGGGGCCTGGTGCTTTCTGTTTTGGAAGGGTATTAGCTGTTAATCCAATTTCTGTAATAGAGATTAACCTGAGTAGATAGATAATCTCTTTTTCCTTGTCTGAGTTTTGGTAGGTGTTTTTTTTTTTTTTTTTTTTAAGGAATTGGTCCATTTAATCTAAGGTATCAAATGACTGGGCAGTTTACAATATTCTTTATTAACCTTTCAGTGTCCATGAGACCAGTTTGTGTTCACAGTACTCTTTCTAATATTAGTGATTCATGTCTCTTCTTTTTTTTTCTTGGCTAGCCCAAGGCATTTGACTGCTAACTAGAAGGCTGGTGGTTCAAACCCACCAGCCACTCCTGGGAAGGAGACTGGGCAATCTACTTCCATAGAGATACTGCCTCGGAAACCCAAGGAGGGGTCTCTGTGAGTCAGAACTGACTCAATGGCAGTGAGGTAGCCTGGCTAAAGGTGTGTCAGTTTCATCGATCTTTTCAAAGAACCAGGTTTTGGTTTCAGTGATTTTTCTCTATTCATTTCCTGTTTTCAATCTCACTGATTTAGTTTCCTGTGCAAAAAGGGCAATGAGGCAGCATCCTCCTCTTTACTCCTCTAACTTCACGAGGAGGAGACAGAATCCCCATCAGCAACCCAAGGCCGATTCCTATGAAGCAGGAGTCAGACATGCCTCCGACCTTTTTACCAATTCTGACAGCAACCTTCCTTCCCACAGCCCTCTCTACTTCTCTGCTGTTGTTGTTAGTGCTGTCGAGTTGGCCCTGACTCATAGCGACCCCTCCTTGGATTTCCGAGGCAGTATCACTACGGAAGTAGATTGCCCCATCTTCCTTCCGAGGAGTGGCTGGTGGGTTTGAACTGCCAGCCTTCTGGTTAGCAGTCAAGTGCCTTAGGCACTATGCCACCTGAGCTCCCACTTTTCTGCTAGGTTTGCTAATTCATTGCAATGGCCACACAGAACTCACAGACAATACTCACGATTAAGAGGTTTATTAGGGAAGTAGCAGGTTATAATTCAGGTTCAGGAGCACTCAGGGTACAATTTTTCCATCAGGACAGCCACCCTTCGGCCATGGCCACAGGCACGCCTCTCTTTGGCCCTTGGGCTCTCAGTCTGGCCTGTGCCCTGCTGGGGCAAGTGTCATGAAACTTTTTAGTAGGCGCACCCCGCTCCACCAGCAAGCCTCCTGCCCAAAGGCATTCAGCTTTCTCACTTTCTGGGCTGACAAGCCTGCTGGCTCCATCTCCCACCAGATCTCAGTTCTGCTGTTGCCGCTGCTGCTGTTTCAGTGTGGGGATGTCAGGCCCGAGAACAGGCTCCACTCCACTTTCAGCTCTTCTCTCTTGATACAGTAAGATTCCCCTTTCTGCCTCTTGGAAGGCTCCTTTTAAGCCTAGTGAAAGGGCAAAACTGACCAATCCCCACATTAGGGTTCCATATGCCTTATTTGCATGGCCCAACCCCATGAGGGTGGCACATGCCTTATTTACATTATTAGCAAGCTATCGAATCCCCTTGGTGAACCACCAGCAGCTCACATTTGCATAGTCCCATCCGGTCATCTGGTGGGAGTTCCAAGGACCAAGCAATTCACTAGGGCATCACAGCTGCTTCCAAATGTTGTTATTCTTAGGGTGGTGATTTTGATCTTAGTGACCTCGTGTGACAACGTAGAACTGCCCCCACAGGGTTTTCTAGGTTGTAATCTTATGAGAGCAGATAGCCATGCCTTTCTCCCAGGGAGCCGCTGGGTGGGTCTGAACCTCCAGCCTTTCGGTTAGCAGCCAAACGCACAACCATTGAACCAGCAGGCTCCTTCATTTGTACATAGACCCTAACTGTCCTAGGTGTATTAGTTATTTAGTGTTGTGTAATAAATTCCTTAAACACTTAGCAGCATAACACTTCCCTGAAACCAAATGATTTGAGAGAGAGCAAGACAGAAGCTGCAATTACGATTTTTTAAAAATATATATATTTCATTATGTTTTTGGTGAAGGTTTACACAACAGTTTAGGTTTCCACTCCCAAATTTCTACACAGGTTGTTCCGTCACATTGGTTCCATTCCTCACCGAGTGTGAACATCCTCAGGATTTGCATTCTAGTTGTTCCATTTCCACTCATTTAGTTTCCCTGCCTCCTTACAGCTCACCTTTGTTTTAAAGTAACTGTTGACCATTGGGTCTCCCAATGGTGAATTTTTTCAAGAAGCAGAGTTCTTAGGTGAGAATAATGATTTTTCTTTTTTTTTGGAGCCAGTTTGTCATTTAGCTACCAAGTAGCCTCAGGGTCACTGTTGGTTCAAGGTTTGAAGGTTATGACCTAACTTCCGAAGTCACACTCCATCACTGCCATAACATCATGTTGGTCATACTGGTCAGCCCTACAATGTGGCCAGGGACACGAACCCCTAGAGGG